GTACCTCCAGCTCCCGTTCTGGAAGTCGGAGACCAGCCAGCACCTATCTGGATGAGCTCTGTTGTGCTGGGAGGCTGAGACCTGAGAGTCTCTTCTAGGGAAGGCCTGGAGAGAGCCTGTGGCAATGGCAGGTGGCAGGGTGATGCCACGTGGGGAGACCATCACCCAAAGGAGCTGGCTTCTCCATCTGTGGGCCCTTGGGGCAGCTCCTTCCCTGTTCCAGCCCCACTCTGGCCTCTCCCGCTGTCCTTTCCCATTATGCTCCTCCCAGGACTCTCAGGGACAGTGGTCCCCTCTAGGCCTGTCGTGGGAGAGTCCTGGCTCTGCCTGCTCCTGCCCTTCCCCGTTCCCTAGAGGCTGCTGGGAAGGGGAGGTGACATTCTCCATGACAGAGCCCTGGGGTGGGGTGGGGGACATGGGGGGAGGCAGGACCCGGTCCGTAAGGCCCCTGGGGGCCCTCCTGCAGCTGAGGTCCAGCTCCCCAGCATGGGCTAACAGGTGCTGCCCCCACCTCCACCTTGGCTGGCTTTGCCCTGTGCCTGGGACCGTGGGACTTGCCTTCTGTCCCTGCTTTGGGGTTGGGGGGGCAGGGATGTTGTTCTGAGAGCCCAAGGCACGCCCTTGCAGAGCAGGAAGGCTCTGGACCAAGGGGCACTGCCAACAGGGAGCCCAGGAAGGGGCGGGGGAGGAGAGCCCTGCCGGGACTCACAGCAGGAACCTCGGCAAGCAGGAGGGATCCTAACACCTTATCAGGAGCACGTCTCACCCCAAATGGCTGCTTCCAGAACCGTGGTCCGTGGGACCCAGCCAGAGGCATCACTCCCTCGGACCACCTTCAGCCAAGTTCCTGCCTCCTCTTTTGCAGCTCCGTTTCAGGAGGGACTGGGCTGGGCCAAGAGCCCCCCAGTCCCCAGGGGTCCTGTTCTTGTGGCCTCGTCAGGGGGTCCAGGCAGCCCCACTGGGGCTGGGAGGGGAGCAGGATGTTTAGGGAGACGGTAGAACTCGAGCTGGGTGCTGCTGCGCTGACCGACCCTCATGCGAGAGAGCTTCAGCCCCCATGGCTGCCTGGGGAGGTGGCCGTGCCCACTTTCCACAGGCGACAGGGGCCTTCGGGAAGCACACGGACTCACTGAAGGTGCAGGCTGAGGCCTAAGCTGCGGGGAGCTTGGCTTTGACCAGCCCCAGCGGAGGGGCTGCATCAGGGAACGCTGGAGTCCCTGTCCTTCATCCAGCCTGGGTATCAGTCCTGGGTCAGTCACTTTCTGAGACCGAACAGCCTTAGGGGGGATCAGGGTGAGAAACACTGGCCCTCTTCCCGCCCCGGACCCTGGGGCAGGTGGGGTCTGAGTGTGAATGCAGTGAGGGCCCTGTGTGTGTGTATGTGTGTGTGTGTATGTCTGTGTGTCTCGCTCCCTCCCTGCAACTCTTTCAAATAAGTAAATCTTAAGGGGCCCAAGCACTGGGACCATCTTCTGCTGCTTTCCTAGGCAGGTTAGCGCTAGGGGGAGCTGGCTGGGAAGCGGAGCAGCCGGGACTTGACCTGGTGCTCCTATGGGATGCCGGTGCCGCAGATGGCAGCTTGCCCAGCTGTGCCACAAGGTCGGGGCCCACACTTATGGTTTGAAGAGGCATTCTGCATGTCCCATGGTCAATGGATTGGAAGCAGGGGGCCCCTGGGGTGTAGCAATTGGAGTGATGGGGCACTGGAGCTGGACAGACAGGGGAGCTCCTGCAGGCTGTTTGCGGATGGAGGCAGCCGCCCTGGAGACTGCATGTAGGGGGAGAGCGCACAGCACTGAGGGAGCTGGAGGGAGGGGGAAGGATGTGAAGTCCGAGGTGGCCATGAGCTCTCGCATGTGGGCTTGGAGAAACTGAGATGCAAGCCCAGCTCCGGGCAGCATGGCGATACTCACGACTACCAGGAGCAGCCAGCGGGCTGTGGATGGCGTGCCTGGCTGCAGATGGCAAAGCGGTGCCTGGGAGAGGCAGCAGCCATAGGGGACGCGGGGTCTCTAAGGAGCGAGCTGGCCCTGGAGCATGGGAGGCAGGGACTCTGCAGAAGGGACAACTGGAGGAGAGTCCTGGCTGAGGAGACAGGAGCGCAGGTGGGGTGGTCTGGGGGTGGGGTTGGGGGTGGGGGATGCCTTCCATTCTCCTTTAAGTAGCAAAGTCACCGCCCCAGAGGTGCCAGGTGCTGCCTGGATGGAGGAGGGGAGAGGCTGCCATCTAAGGGGAGGGGAGGGAGCTCACCGGGGAGGCTGGAGACACGTGGTCATGAATTTACAGCAAGGCCAGTCGATGCAGTGGGTTTTGCTCCGGAAAAAAGCAGCTGCCGGGTCAAAGGCGGGGAGCTGGCGGACGGTTTGGGTCCGCCTGGGCCTGCGGTTTTGCAGAGCGGGTGGTGCCGGCGATGGGATGACTGATTTATGTTGTAGGAGGCACAAGGGCCTGGGAGCGGGGAGGCTCAGGCATGGGGTGGTCCGGGGACTGGAGAGCTGGGTGTGCAGCCCGATGGGGGCCGGCTCCAGGGGAGGGAGGGAGGGCCTCACCACCTCACCTCTCAGGCCTGGGGAGGAAGCGACTCCAGGGCTTGAACCAAGGCGTCGCACTTCTCCCTAGGCTCCCAAAGGCAGCCACAGGAGCACTGTAAGCCCCGCCCCTCTTCCCACGGACATCCTACTGGGGCACCTTCATGTGAGCACCGCCTGTTACACACTGACACCTGCGGCCACTGCCCCGCACCATCCAGTGACCGTGAGCCAGGTATGGGGGAGACAAGAGACGCCCACTCTGACGGAGAGCAGTGGTGCCGGAAACTCACCTGTCACGATCGAAGTGCAAGGGGCTGAGTGGGAAAGTGGCGTGGAGCGTGGGCATCAACGAGCCGCACCGGCTGGAGACAGGGGAGTGTACCTGGAAGGGTGGGAGGGGCCCACCAGGCACAGAAAGGGGCGGTAGGAGGGCGTCTCTGGCAGTGCAAACAGCACCTGGAAAGGACTGGAGGTGTGCAGGCACACGGCACGTCTGGAGGGGCGGGGCCTGGTGCTGTGCCCTGACCGCCCACTCCACGCACCCTTTAGGCAGCTCCTGCCCTGGGCTGCCACAGGTCCGGCCTGGTGGGAGGGGATGGTAGCGCAAGGCCAGATCTAGCTTGGGGGTGCTAACAGGAGACTCGCTGCGGCCGGCCAGGCCCTGCTGTACCTGCTGCACCTGACTGGGGGACAGTGCTGGGAGGAGACAAGCCTGAGCCACCGTCCCAGGCACGGACGCACATCCCACCTGCCCAGACTCTGTCCCTGGTGTGCCCAACCAGGCTGGTTCCTGACTGGCCCAGGACAGGACGGTCCAGCAGGGTGTGGCCTCTGCAGCCCTGCAGCTGCCCCCTCCCCCCAGTAGGCATCTCTCGCTGGGGTCTCGAGGGGTGGGGAGGGCGCATGGGTGACTGGCCTCAGTGCCGGCAGCATCCCAGAAGCACGGCTCTCTCGGGAAAATGGGTCAGAAGATGAAGCTGAGGAAGCTGTCCGCAGTGTCCCGGGAGACACTGGGCCCCAGCCTGAGGGCGGCCGGAGCGGGCGGAGCTGTAGTCCCGTCAATGCCCACTTGGGGCAGGCAGCAATGGGGCAGGCAGGAACTTTCCTAAGTAGCTGCTTCCCAAGCCCCAGGGTCACTCCCAAGCCCCTTCCCCAACAAAAGGGCTCCTGGGGCCTCTCTCCCTAGAGACTGGGGACAAGGACCAGCCCATGAGTGGGAAGCACACACCCAAGGTTCCTGTCTCTGGAGGGCTCCACTGCACCTGGCCAACACACTCGCACCTAGCCAGGGAGCTGGGTCATCAGGCGGGATGGAGGGACATGCTGGGATGGAGGGAGAACTCACCTCCAGCACCCTCGACGGCCAGGGCGGATGGCCTGGGGAACGGCTCGTCTCCGCCTGGCTGTGGGGAGACAGAGATGACGCCCCCATCCATTGGTTCATCCTCCCAAATGCCTGCAACACCAGGGCTGGGTCCAGGTAAAGCCAAGAGCCAGGAGCGGAAACTCAATCCGGGTCTCCCACGGCAGTGGCAGGGACCCAAGTACTCGCCTCATCACCTGCTGGCCCCTAGGATGTAGAATCGGGATCAGAGGTGGGACTTGAAGAGCGGCAACACGAACCGCTTCTTTCCAGCTGCGCCAAACGCCCGCCCCCTCAGCCGCTGTTTGAAAGGGAGAGGGGGCGCGTTCTGACATTTCTTATCCCAGCTTTCCACTGAGACGTGCATATGGGGGCTGGGGGGAGAAGGGATCAGCCCCCACCCCTGGGGTCTCCGCGGAGGTAAACGGAAGCCCCTTCCTCCACCGCTGCCCCTAGACCCGCTGCTTCTGGGCACTCCACGCAGGGGCAGGGACCCCGTCTTTCCTTGGGTCAAGGGGCTGAGGCTCCCTCACCCCCAGACACGCAGTCGGTAGCGCAAGTCGCAGTCGCTTTTGTGCGCTGAAGCCAAGCCAGTTCCCCGCGTACCTCCTTTGCCTTTAGTGGAGGAAACGGAGGAGGCAGCCGCAGGAGAAACAGATAAGCCGAAGCCGCACACGGCCGGCTCTGAGCCCCGGACTCTCACCGCCGGTTTCCGGCAGGTGCGGAGGGCGCTCACCCGTGCGCGACAGCAGGGGGCGCTCGCACCTCGGCGCCACGCGTCCCCTCGCGCTCCGCAGGCCCGACGGAGCCGGGTCTCGGGTGGAGGAGCCCTTGGGGCAGGTTCAGGACCGGCGCCGCCACGCCGTCGCTGGGTTTCTTCACTGTCAGGGGTCTGGCCAGGGCCGTGGCTCCTTCCGCTCCAGCTCCGTAACACACCCACCCCACCTTCTCCTACGGCGGTTGGGCGGCGGGGGCAGGGGACGGCTCACGCCCACCGCCCTGGACTCGGATGCTCCGCCGCGGTCCCACCTCGGTGCCCTCCGCGCGCCCACCCCGCGTGCCCGCTCCCCGCACGCACCGGACCTCCCACTTTACCGCGCGTCCTCTGAGCCCCGCAGACCCCAGACGGGACTCCTCCGGGGTGCCGGGGCGGAGGCCAGGGCGCGGGGCGGCCGAGCGCGCCTTCAGCCCACCCTCGGTCCAGACGCGCGCCCCGCCTCCCTCCGCTCCTCCCGCCCCCGCCCCCGTCTCCTCCCTCCTCCAGCCGCGCTCGCTCCGCGCCCCACTCCGCTACCGCCGCTGGCTGCCTGCAGGCGCGGCTCCGGGCGACAGCCAGCGAGGGAGCCGGCGCCGGGCCTCGCGCCTTCTCCTCCGAGAGCCCGCCGCGCGGCCCCCGTGCGTCCGGCTGCTGTGTGGCTGGAGAGCGCCACGTTCCCCCGGTCCCCGGAGCGACGGGGCCAGCAGCGGGACAACTTGGAAAACTTCCCCGGGGGCGGACAGCAGGGACGCGGGGCGCCGGTGGAAGAGGATGTAGGCGGGCGGGGACTGGCCACGGGTGTCCCGCCACCTTCCAGGCCCGGTTCGGCCAGGCCATGCGGCTGCGGCGCCGCCGAGGGACCGACCCTCTGGTCTAGCCGGGCCGGGGCAGTGCTCTCGCCCGCTGTGGCCGCGTCCGGCTCCGCCATGGACCATCAGGAACCTTACTCCGTGCAGGCCACGGCGGCCATTGCGGCGGTCATCACCTTCCTCATCCTCTTCACCATCTTCGGCAACGCTCTGGTCATCCTGGCTGTGTTGACCAGCCGCTCGCTGCGTGCCCCGCAAAACCTGTTCCTGGTGTCGCTGGCCGCGGCCGACATCCTGGTGGCCACGCTCATCATCCCCTTCTCGCTGGCCAACGAGCTGCTGGGCTACTGGTACTTCCGGCGCACGTGGTGCGAGGTGTACCTGGCACTCGATGTGCTCTTCTGCACGTCGTCCATCGTGCACCTGTGCGCCATCAGCCTGGACCGCTACTGGGCCGTGAGCCGGGCTTTGGAGTACAACTGCAAGCGCACCCCGCGGCGGATCAAGTGTATCATCCTCACCGTGTGGCTCATCGCCGCCGCCATCTCGCTGCCCCCCCTCATCTACAAGGGCGACCAGGGCCCCCAGCCCCACGGGCGCCCGCAGTGCAAGCTCAACCAAGAGGCCTGGTACATCTTGTCCTCCAGCTTGGGCTCCTTCTTTGTGCCCTGTCTCATCATGATCCTCGTCTACCTGCGTATCTACCTGATCGCCAAACGCAGCCACCGCAGAGGTCCCAGAGCCAAGGGGGGTCCCGGGGAGGGAGAGTCCAGGCAGGCCTGCCCTGTCCCTGGGGGCCCTTCTGCCTCTGCCAAGCTGCCAACCCTGGCCACTCCTGTGGCTTCTGCCAGCGAGGCCAATGGACCCTCCAAGCCTGCTGGGGAGAAGGAGGAAGGGGAGACCCCCGAAGACCCTGGGACCCAGGCCTTGCCGCCCGGCTGGGCCACCCTTCCCAACTCAGGCCAGGGCCAGAAAGAGGGTGTTTCGGGTGCATCTCTGGAGGAAGAAGCTGAAGAGGAGGAGGAGGAGGAGGAGGAGGAGGACGAGCCTCAGGCAGTGCCAGTGTCTCCTGCCTCAGTGGGCAGCCCACCCTTGCAGCAGCCGCAGGGCTCCCGGGTGCTGGCCACCCTCCGTGGCCAGGTGCTCGTGGGCCGGGGCGTGGGTGCCATGAGCGGGCAGTGGTGGCGTCGCCGGGCGCAGCTGAGCCGGGAGAAGCGTTTCACCTTCGTGCTGGCCGTGGTCATCGGCGTCTTTGTGCTCTGCTGGTTCCCCTTTTTCTTCAGCTACAGCCTGAGTGCCATCTGCCCGCAGCAGTGCCGGGTGCCCCACGGCCTCTTCCAGTTCTTCTTCTGGATCGGGTACTGCAACAGCTCCCTGAACCCCGTCATCTACACCATCTTCAACCAGGACTTCCGCCGCGCCTTCCGGAGGATCCTTTGCCGCCAGTGGACCCAGACAGCCTGGTGAGCCCACCTGCAGGCTGCCCGGGTGGGCTCGGTGCCAAGTGGCACCGGGACCTTGCTGCTTCTTGGTCTGCTTTTAGTGGCTGCCCCCCGACCCCATCCTGGGACTTTCTGGGGTGCTGCAGGTCTCATCTTAAGAGCAGAGGGGCATGGGTGCTGTGCACTTGGGTCCTTTTAAAGCCTCCCCTTGCTGTCTCTGGTGCACGGGCAGGATGAGGCTCAGGTCTTCCTGAATACAGCTGAGGCCAGGCAAGAACAGAGCCCCAGACCCCTCTGGGCCAGTAGCGGACTTCCGTTTTTGAGGACCTGGTATTCCGTGGCTTCCTGCTTCTTTTCCATCCCCGTTCCCCTCTGCCCAGCCTCATCCCCAGGAGCAGGACGCCAGCCAGGAGGGCAGATGAAGACTGTCCACCCACGTTGTCACCGCGGTCCCCATCAGGCGCTGGGAAGGGGTGAGAGTTCTTGCGACAGCCCTGTCTCTGGGCTCCGTCCTCTGCTTCTGGATCCTGAATCCGTGGTTCCTTTCTCGGCCAGACCTTGGATCAATTTCCTTACCCGCAGCCCATCTGAGAGGCGGACGGGCACGTGGATGCCTCCGCAGGGTGGTCTGTCGGCCTGGCCTCGGTCTCCACGGGAGATCCCCAATCACGAAGCGTTCACCCCCTGCAAAAACCAGGGCGACAATCGCTTGCCGCCTACTTGCCGCAGGGAGATGAAAGGCTTTGCAGAGAGCTTTGAGCTCCGTGGGGTAACGCACCCGAGAACCAGAAAATGTGATTATCCGGTGATACAGAAACCTCTCTCCTCTGTGTTTACCACCCCTGCTTCCCGGAGACTTTCTGTGCCTGGGGTGTGTGAAGTCCTGCCCCAAGCAGGCAGACTCACTGTTCCCAGTTAAAGGATTTCTTTGAGGTCGTGTTCTTGCACCTGCCGGGGTTGGAGTTCTCATGCTGTTTGAGCCTCCTTGACATTGCACCTGCTTGCCGCCCTCTACCCGCCTCGGGGGCGAGGGATCAGTCTCTGTCATCAAGCAGGCAAGCAGGCAAACGGTTTCCCTGAGACAGCCAAAAATACCCGCCTGTGGGGACCATCCGAGATGAGAGTCTTTGGCAGACAGAGCCCCCAGGTGGGGAGCTGGGGCTGGAGCCGGTGAGCAGGGGCCTGGAGGAGCCTCTGGCTGGAGTGCCCGGGGCGGGGGTCGGGGGGGGCTCCACGCATGCGTGGGTCCTTGTGGGAGGGTGCTTGGCTGAGCTGCTCAGACCCAGCCATGGTGCTTCCCAGCTTCGGGGGGCCGCTCCCTCCTGGTTCTCTCACCCATGCTGGACCCTAGCACCCAGCACAATGGGAACTCTGTAGAGGGCCTGGCCTCACTGTTGGGCCAGCGAGCATTTTAGCTTGGGGTGGGGCTGGGCTGAGCCCCGCAGGCACTGTTGGCACCCTGATGGACCTGCCAGGTGCTGAGGGTGTGTTCTGGGGGTGGAGAGAGTGGACGGGAGGAGAGAGAGTCCCTCCTAGGGAGAGGGGTGTGGGCTCCATCAGGGGCTTTGCCCTGGGGGCACGGCTGGGTGCAGGGGAGGGACTGATTTGTAGACCATCTGTGGCCTGACCTTGTGTGTGTCCCAAGGACCCCCATATTGTTGCCTGAGGCCCCTTTGTGACTTGCAGGTGTCTTTACAAAGTCTGAGCTATTTTATCAATAAAGAGTATTTTGTAATAAGCCAGCTGTGTCCTCACTGCCCAGGGCTGTCAGGAGCAGCTCTACCTCAAGCGGCTTGCACTGCAGCTGCTGGCTGTTGGCCTGGGGAGTGGGGCCCCTCCTAGGGTGCTTGCTCTCTCCTCCCCCAGGTGCCCCCGGTCTGCCTGCCTTGCATTTGTCCGTTCAGCATCTTTAGGCTTCCTAAGCCGACTGGGCCAGAGGAGCCTCAGCCTGGGGACCAAGGGAGAGGAGGGCTTCCCAGAGGAGGTGCCTTGGCGCTGGGTCCTAGTGGGAGAGTACAAGCAATCCAGAAGGCAAGGGACTCAGGCAGGATCAGAAAGGGGGAATGACTCGTCTGAGGTCATCCGGGCCCAGGCTCCTTCCACTGGCCCGCACCGGCTCCTCCTACTCAAGGGTCTGCAAGGAGCAAGCTGGAGCGGGACTGTTTGCAAGTGCATTAAGCCTGCAGTGTCTCTGTTTTAATCATCAGCCAACCATCAACCTTGCTGGGTGGGAGGGGTCATTTTACATAAGAGGAAACTTGACACTCAAGTCACCTAGCGGGGTGGTCCCAGGGTCACAGCACAAAGGATGGTGACCCCACCCTTTGGGTCAGCCTCTCATTCAGTAGTGCTGACAGTCTGGAGATTCTGAGGCCATATCTGGTTGGATTCCATATGCGGCAGTGCTGTGGTTGATTGCTCATGTCTGTCACCGCCACAGTGTAAGTGATGGTATCACGGTTTCCATTCCTGACAACTCAGCCCAATCCCTGAATTTTGTTAAGGAAGACACAGGCCCGGAAGGAGAAGCCGACATGCCTCGGGTGGTCTTGGGTGGACACTGGGTGGCAGAGCTGGATCTAGATCATGTCGTACTTCGTACCGAATGAACCGCATCACATCCAGGCCCACGTGCCGGAAGCCTCGCTGGCAGCCCACTGTGTGCCTATTCCTGGGCTGGGCTTGTCTCCATTTTCCTTATTCCCTTCTCAGATGACGGAAATGAGCCCTGGGCCCTGAACCGCCTCCTTCCTGTGGGTCTCTGTCCGTAGGACCCATCTGAGTGGTGCTGGGTTGCTGGGGCAGACTCAGAGCAGTAGAGACGGACGGCAGCGGGAGGGAAGTCCTCCTCCTCCGAGAAGCCCAGCAAGGCCAGGGAGGTGTCGGGGTGGGGGGGAGGGGTGGAATGGGAGGTGAGCTGAGGCCTCCACCGGTCACCAGGCACAGCTGTCTGGGCCAAGCGCCCGGCCTGCTGGAGACCCTTCTCAACATGGCCCTGACCTCAGGGAGGCCCCAACATGGAAGAAGTGGGGAGGGTAAGGGGGGGTCCCACCGGCTTCACTTGCTCCGTGTAAATCTGGGTCCTTAGATTCCAGGGGACATCCTTGAGAGGGCTGTCTGAGCCAGCCCCAGCCCTGGGGTGGCTTCTGGGAATCTGGGGGCCTCTGAGAATTTTTTTAAAGATTTTATGTATTTATTTGAGAGGAAGAGTTGCAGACAGAGAGAGGAAGAGACAGAGAGAGGTCTTCCACCTGCTAGTTCACTCCCAAGATGGCCGCAATGGCTGGAGCTGTGCCGGTCTGAAGTTAGGAGCCAGGAGCTTCTTCCGGGTCTCCCATGTGGGTGCAGGGCCCAAGCACTTGGACCATCTTCTACTGCTGTCTCAGGCCAAAAGTGGAGAGCTGCATCAGAAGAGGAGCAATGAGGACATGAACTGGTGCCCATACAGGATGCGGCTGTTGTAGGCGGAGGCTCAGCCTGCTAGACCACAGCACCAGGCCACTGAGAATCATCCTTTGGAGCACTGTGGCAGGAGGCACCCCTGGCCGCCTGCTCAGAAGGTCCTTGGTGGGGGGCGGGGTTTCCGACTCCCCTCTGGCCAGGACTCAGAGAGAAGCTCATGGGTTAGTCAGGTCCTAGTCCTCACTCTCCACTCCCATCTTCTGTATAATCTCCATTGTGAGCATGTGTGAGTGTGTGTGTGTGACTGTGTGTATGTGTGAGTGTGTGTGAGTCTGTGTATGTGAGTGTGTGTATGTGTGTGTGTGACTGTGTGTATGTGTGTGTATGTGAGTGTGTGCATGTATGTGCATGTGTGTGTGAGTGTGTGTATGTGAGTGTGTGTATGTGTGAGTGTGTATGTGTATGTGTGAGTGTGTATGTGTGTGTAGGTGTGAGTGTGTGTGTGTCTGTGTATGTGAGTGTGTATGTGTGTGTGTGACTGTGTATGTGTGTGTGTATGTGAGTGTGTGCATGTATGTGCATGTGTGGGTGTGTGAGTGTGTGTATGTGTATGTGTGAGTGTGCGCATGTGTGTGTATGTGTGAGTGTGTTGTGTGTATGTGATTGTGCATGTGTGTGTGTGTGTGTGTGTGGGTGTGTGAGTGTGAGTATGTGTGTGTGAGTGTGTGTGTGTGAGCATGTGTGTGTGTAGGGTGCTGGGAGGGGATGTCAGGGAGACCTTGCCCAGCTGTTGCGTGCTGGCTGGGCCGAGCGCACCTGCCCAGCTGGACTCAGTCCTGGGCAAACTCCAGCCTCCCTGGTGTTGGCTGTGCGTCCTGCTCACAGGGCCAGGTGGCTGCTTCCATGCCTAGCTGCCCCGTGGAGATTCCTGGCATGAATCAGTTTTCCCAGGGCCAGGACTGTGGGCAGGGTTGGGGCTGTTTTGCTCACCTTTGAGCCTCAGTGCAGGATTGGGCACCCAGTCTGGAGCTTGGACCCTCTGAGATGTGCAGCGATGAGAATGATGACAGCCCTGAGCTCACAGGGCCCGGTGCGATTGTCATCCCCAGGGTACAGGCGAGGAGGCTGAGGCTGAAGTCATCCACCATCAAGATGTGGGCCCACCCAATCTGACCCCAGCTGTGTCACTCCCTGGCTCAGCGGGGAGCAGGCCCCAGTGGGCTGTCAGCCCCTGGGTGAGCTCTTGGGGTCTGTCTTGCACAGGCCCCCTGCACTCTGGGGGCAGCCCCCGTGCCTGCTTCTCTCCATCAGAGTGGGAGCCCAGGCAGGGGGGCCTCTGGAGCTCTGCTCACTGCTAACAGGGGAGGAGGGGCGCTTTGGGTTAAAATTAGATTCTGAGATTCTTCTCGCTCCCGCATCCGTGCTTTCTTCCGCCCGGCTGGGGCAGGCTGCTGTCAGGAGGCCAGAGCTGGAGGGAGCCTGGATGACAGCCCGCACCCTCCCCCGGCTTGTGGGCTCCGATCGTCTCACACCCTGGGCTGGCCCTGGGCCAGAGGCTCCTGCCCTTGGCTTGGCCTTGTGGTCATCTATTGATTAGCAGTGATTTCGAAGGGAGAGGCCCCTTTCCCGTGCATTCTGTACCCCTGGGATTCTAGTTCCCTCCGTCCTCTCCTGGGTCCTCCCTTCCTCCCCCCCCCCAACCCCGTCCTGGCCCTTGGCACTCCTGGGTCCCCAGTGACCCATTACCCTTTCTCTGAACCCCGTACCGCCTCCTGCGGACCCTCTGACTTCCGCCTCGCCTGTGGGGTGGTCCCCTCTTCTTAGGCCTGCAGGCACTCTGGACCAGTGGTGGCTTCGAGGGTTGGGAATGCACTAGAAACCAACAAGGAGCTTCCTCCCCGGAAAGTCAAGGCTATTTCTGTCCCTGCTGCAGCCCTCCGGGGGCCCTGGCTCTCTGCCAGAGCAGGCAGGGGAGGGCTGGGCTGGGCTGAGGGTGCGAGGGTCCTGACCCTTCATTTCCCCAGTGGGAGAACAGGGCAGGCCCTTTTTGGAGCTGAGGGGCTGGTCCTCCAATCTCAGAACAGCCAGGGCTCAGATGGACCGCCCCTCTCCCCACTTCAGCTCTCATGGGGACCTGGGACCATGGTGGTGGGACACCTGGGTCCCTTTCCCACCCCAGCTCGGCTGCAGCTGTGATGGGGGAGCGTGAGAGGAGGCTGCCAAGACCTGCTGTCTGGATTTCCCGGATGCTTGTGTGGTGGGGGCGGCTAAGGGTTAAACCCAGTGCAGGAGGGTGGGTGACAGCGGTCCCAGGCAGGAGGCTCTGCTGGGACTGCCTGTGTGCTTTTCGCCTGGTGCCGCTTGGACACAGCTGTCTCAGCTGCAAATCTGGGAGGGAAGTGGCCCCTGCAGCTGGCAGCTGGAGTTCGGGTGGGTGCCCAGCATCCCTCGGCTGGTATCCAGGAGCTGGGGTCACGATCCTAGCAGGGCCACTAAATTGCTGGGTGACCTCACTTGTTTCACATTACCTCTCGGCTTCAGGTTCGTCATTGTCAGACTGGACCATGGGCTGTGTGGTGTCCTGGGTGCTGCCCCAGGATCTGCTGGGCAGGGGTGGAAACCCAGGTCCTCTGCTTTCGCCTCACCCCTGCCTTCTCTGGCTGATCGATCATTCAGACAGCAGCTCCCCACCCTTGCTCACCAGGCTTCCTCCTCTGCCCTCCTGCCTGCACCTCCATGACCTCCACCCCCCAATCTACCCGCACCCCAGGCTCAGACAACATCCCCGTCACCTCCCCATCCTGCCCTTGACCCCAGGGCTCCTGGGAGATCTAGGTGACTGAGCTGCCGAAGGACCATCATGGAAAAGGTTATGCAAATGCAAGCTCGTGGGACTGGGGGTGGCTGATGTGTCTCAAGCAAGGCTGAGAAGGGGAACTTGAACTGGGGGTTGCAACAGAGTGGGAAGAAGGGCGAGACCCTTTAGGAGGGGGATGCTTGGGGACACCATGCTCCCATGAGGTCAGGGCTTAGAATGACATTGGGAGAAGATGTGGCTCCCGCCTTAGCCCTGCATTCACCCCAGCTGTGGGGACCAAGGGGCCGGTCAGAGCAGGGCCGTGCCCTGTGCTCAGGGGCTTCCTTACAAGGACAGTGGAGAGAGCTGGGGCTTCCCTGGTCATGATGTGCTCTTTGCCCTGTGGCAGAGCCTAGACGGAGCAGGTGCCAGTCTGCCGTGGTTGGATGCGTGAGACTTCCCAGCGAACTGGAGCCGCTCTGGTGTGAGTCACCCCACACTGGGGCCCCTGGGCTCTGGGAACATATCCGTGACTCGGG